ATGGTCTTGATCTCCTGACCTCATGATCCACCCGTCTCGGCCTCCCAAAGTGCTGGGATTACAGGCTTGAGCCACCGCACCCGGCCTATTTTATTAATTTTTAATTTATCTCTTAGAGACAAAGTTTTACTGTCACCCAGGCTAGAGTAGAGTAGTAGCAATCATAGCTCACTGTAACCTTGAACTCCTGGGCTCAAGCAATCCTTCTGCCTCAGCCTCCCAAGTAGCTACAACTACAGGCATGCACCACTATGCCCAGTAGTTTGGGTTTTTTTTGTTTTGTTTTGTTTTGGTTAAATTTTTGGTAGACAGGGGCTTTGTTGCTTAGGCTGGATTCAAACTCCTGGCCTCACACAATCCTCCTGCCTCAGCTTCCCAAAGTGCTTGGATTACAGGCACTTGCCCATTGGAGCCATTATAGAGGAAGTCTATCACAAAAGCCAATATTGAGGAAAACAGACCTGACAGCCAAGAAGTGACTGAGTCCAGTGACTTCACTTCAGCCCTTGAATGTTGCCATTAGGTTTTGTCACATGCAATATTCTGACATGTGCTAGAATGGCTGCCGAAACTTTAGGTGGAACAATTCATCCCCATTTGCCCAGGACTTCCCTGGTTTTAACACTAAAAGTCCTGTATCTTGGGAAATTCCTATATCCCAGGTGAATTGGAACAGCTGACACCTGACATAGCAGTCATTTGATGACCAAAATTAAACCAATGCTGCTTGCTCAGGATTCTGTGGCATGGTACAACAGAAAACATGGACTCTGGAGTTAAGGTTTGGGTTCAAATTCTAGCACTATCATTTACTAGCTGTGTGGCTCTGGGCAACTCACCTCACCTGTTTTCTCACCATTAAAATAGGCATCAGAATCTCTGTGTTGAAAAATGCCCATATGGATTGGAGAGAATTTATGTAAAAACATGATTATCTCTGCCATGCTTCGTGGCTCACACCTGTAATCCCAGCACTTTGGGAGGCTGAGGTGGGTGGATCACCTGAGGTCAGCCTGGCCAACATGGTGAAACCCCATCTCTACTAAAAATACAAAAATTAGCCAGGCATGGTGGCACGCACCTGTAGTCCCAGCTACTTGGGAGGCTGAGGCAGGAGAACTGCTTGATCCCAGGAGGCGGAGGTTGCAGTGAGCCGAGATCGTGCCACTGCACTCCAGCCTCGGTGACAGAGCAAGACTGTCTCAAAACAAAAGCAAAAACAAAGCATGGTTATCTCAACAAATGGTACTTGTCATCATTATAAGTATTTTGAGGTTCTCAACAAACTGTAACTTTTTTCAGACAAGATACATGGGAATTTCCTGGGTCTTAGATCCCAGTTGGATATTCAGATGCTGTACTATGTGCCAGGGCCTGTGGCGGTCTGTCTGATTTCCCTAGGGAAGAGATGCTCAGAAAATTAATGCTTAGGTTTTCATAGAGTCCTTGGGCATGTTTGATAATGAAGAGCCAACCAATCAAAGCCATTTCTCTCTCTCTCTGTTTTTTAAGAGAAGTTCTCACCCTTTCACCCAGACTGGAGTGCAGTGTGATCATAGTTCACTACAGCCTTGAACTCCTGGGTTAAAACAATCCTCCCACCTGAGCCCCCCAGTAGCTGGGACCACAGGCGTGTGCCCCATACCCAGCTAATTTTATTATTTTATTTTCTCTATCACCCCAGCTGGAGGGCACTGGCGCAATCTCAGCTCACCTCAACCTCTTCCTCCCAGGTTCAAGTGATTCTCGTACCTCAGCCTCCTGAGTAGCTGGGATTACAGGCGCCCACCACCACACCCAGTTAGTTTGTTTTTTGTTTTGTTTTGTTTTTTGAGATGGAGTCTTTCTCTACCACCCAGGCTGGAGTGCAGGTGACACAATCTTGGCTCACTGCAATCTCTGCCCTTCTCGGTTCAAGCGATTCTCCTGCCTCAGCCTCCCAAGTAGCTGGGACTACAGGTGCCCTCCACCACGCAAGGCTAATTTTTTGTATTTTTAGTAGAGACGGGGTTTCACCGTGTTAGTCAGGATGGTCTCAATCTCCTGACCTCGTGATCCACTCGCCTCAGCCTCCCAAAGTGCTGGGATTACAGGCGTGAGCCCCCGCGCCCAGCCAAGCGTGCATTTTTAAAATGCTCCCAGGTGATGCTGCTGAAGGCAGTCCACAGTCCACACCGAGAACCCACATACCAGGCCACCTGTACAGATCATGAAAATGAAGCCCCTAGCACACTGCCTGGCACATGGTTTGTGTCCAGGAAACAGCACTAGAGAGACTATGCAAGTTGCTCTAGATCCACGAGGGAACTGATGCTTGCTCAGTCCCATGCAGTCTTGGGTGTCCCATCCCGATCTCCCCTGCCCTGCCCCCAGCCTTCCCAGGGGAAGAGAATAAACAACAGCAGCAACATTTTCATTTTATAAGCACTTGGTTTTATTGCACAGAAGCAATTGAAAGTGGACTCCAGTGGAAAGTGCGCCCTGGCATAATTCAGTGGCCAGTGCCCGGCCCCATCTGGACCGCTCTTCCAGAATAGAGAGCTCTGGGCAAGGGCTTGACCACTCCTTTGGAAAACAGAAGGCATTTGGGAATAGGTTAAGACATCTCAAGCATAATGTGTTTCTAACTGCTCATTCATTATTGCGGTCATCTGTCAGTTGCACATAGAGGCAATAAATGCACTTATTTGGAAAGGAGGGGGCAGTTTTATAGTCAAGTGTTTACGTGTGGCATTCGGCATGTATCACATTCAGCTACATAAGCTATCATAACATAATTGTCCATCGCCTGGGGAGGGCGTGGGGGCAGGGGCCTGGGAGTGCCCTCTCTTGCTAACATATTGCTAACAAATTCCTGTTTGAAGAAGGCGGCCCCGTCATCAAAGCAGTTTCTTCTTACATAAAGAGAAAAAGTGAAAATTGTGTTAATCCGATCCTTGAGCTCTGGGACTCTTGTGAGTTTCTTTGGCTGTTCCGGATGTTCCTTTCTCCCTGCCTTACTTCCCCTTGGTGGCCTTGTCTTCTGTGGCCTTCTCTGGAGGCCTGCTATCTTTTTGGTCTGTGCTGGAGGATTTTTCAGCCTTTTCCGCCTTAGGCTTGGTAGGCTCCTTTGAGAGGGTCTTGTCATCCTCCTTGGCTTTGGCCTCTGTCTTGGGTTTCTCCTCAGGCTTCTTGGCCTTCTCCTCCTTGGTGTCTTTTTTCTCTGGTGCTGCTGCCGCCTCCTCCTTCTCTGCTGGTTTGCTGGGTTCCTTGGCCTTGGCATCATCTGGTTCCTTCTTGGCCACCTCTGTCTTCTCTTTGGGTTTAGCGTCTTCCTTCCCCTCCACCTTAGCAGGAGCCTCCTTCTCTGGGGTGGCGGCTTTTTTCTTATCTTCAGCCTCTTCCTTCTTGGCTTCAACTTTGGATTCTTTGGGCTTTTCGACAGCAGGTTCCTTCTTCTCCTCCACCTTGGGCTTTGGAGCCTCTTTCTTGGGTGCCTCCTCTTTCTTGCTGTCCTTCTTCTCCTCCGTTTTTGGCGTGGCAGGGGCTTTCTCTTCCTCCGCCTTCTTTGGGGGCTCTTTGACTTTCACCTCTTGGGGCTTCTCCTCCTTCACTGGGGACTTCACCTCTTCCTTCTTTGGGATCTCTTTCTCAGGGGCCTTGGCATCCTCCTTCAGGGGAGACTTCGCCTTCTCTGGGGACTTGACCTCCTCCTTGACAGGGCTTTTGGCCTTTTCAGGGGATTTGTCTGCAGGGGACCTTGCTTCCTCCTTCGCTGGCGTCTTGGCTTCTGGAGATTTCACATCAAGAGTCTTGGCCTTCTCAGGGGACTTGGCCTTCTCCGGGGACTTGGCCTTCTCGGGGGACTTGGCTTCCTCCTTCACTGGGGACTTGGCCTTTTCGGGGGACTTCGCTTCCTCCTTCACTGGGGACTTGGCCTTCTCGGGGGACTTGGCTTCCTCCTTCACTGGGGACTTGGCCTTCTCGGGGGACTTGGCCTTCTCGGGGGACTTGGCTTCCTCTTGGCCTTTTCGGGGGACTTCGCTTCCTCCTTCACTGGGGACTTGGCCTTCTCGGGGGACTTGGCTTCCTCCTTCACTGGGGACTTGGCCTTCTCGGGGGACTTGGCCTTCTCGGGGGACTTGGCTTCCTCCTTCACTGGGGACTTGGCCTTCTCGGGGGACTTGGCTTCCTCCTTCACTGGGGACTTGGCCTTCTCTGGGGACTTTGCTTCTTCCTTCTCTGGGGACTTGGCCTTCTCGGGGGACTTTGCTTCCTCCTTCGTTGGGGACTTGGCCTTCTCGGGGGACTTTGCTTCCTCCTTCGTTGGGGACTTGGCCTTTTCAGGGGACTTGGCCTCAGCCGGTGACTTTGCTTCTTCCTTCATTGGGGACTTGGCCTTCTCTGGAGACTTGGCCTCAGCTGGTGACTTTGCCTCTTCCTTTGCTGGAGACTTGGCCTTCTCAGGGGACTTGACCTCGGCTGGAGATTTTGCTTCCTCCTTCTCTGGAGACTTGGCCTCAGCCGGTGACTTTGCCTCTTCCTTTGCTGGAGACTTGGCCTTCTCGGGGGACTTGACCTCGGCTGGGGATTTTGCTTCCTCCTTCTCTGGAGACTTGGCCTCAGCCGGTGACTTTGCCTCTTCCTTTACTGGTGACTTGGCTTCCTTCTCTGGGGATGCAGCCTCTTCTGCTGGGGGAGACTTTGCTGCTTCTTCTCCCCCTTCTGCCTCCTCCTCTTCACCCACTTCTTCCTCCTTGCCCTCCTCCTCTTTGGCCTCTTTCTCCTCTTCTTCAGTCACTTCTTCAGTTACTTGGGTCTCCTCTGTCTGTTCCTCCACAATCACAGTTTCTTTCTCAGACTTCTCCACCACTTTGACCTTCTCTTCGCTTTTGACCTTTATGTGAGTGGACACAGCGGGAATTTTGGGGAGTCCTTCGGGAAGCGAGAAAGGAATTGGGCCAAAGCCAATCCGACACTCTTCACCTTCCAGTAGTTTTCTGCAGGATGGATAATGGAACACATTACTATACACTCAGAGCAAATTCACTATTTGGGTTCTTCCTAGACTATCCTGAAGGTCACTGACATTGAATGATATGGATTTTGGTGGAACAGGAATGTGAAGGGTGGGCATTATGAGCCTGGAGAAAGTCACTTGGCAAATCATTCCAGTGACCACCCAGAATATGTAATGCAGTGGACTGGTTTTTTGTTTTTTGTGTTTTTTTTGAGACAGGGTCTCGCTCTATTGCCCAGGCTTAAGCAGCTGGCCTTCTTCAATACAGCTAAGCCTGAAACTTTTGAAATAAAACAACTTTTGCCCCACAAAAAAGGCCCTCAAGAGAAAGCTCCTAAATAAATTTAACAAAGATTAAATTTATTGTACCTCAAACTAAAATAGTATTCAAGAGAACCCTGGGAGCCTGAGCAAACAATTCCACTTTTTTCTTTTTTTGAGACGGAGTCTCTGTTGCCTAGGCTGGAGTCCAGTGACACAATCTCAGCTCACTACAACCTCTGCCTCCAAGATTCAAGCAATTCTCCTATCTCAGCCTCCTGAGTAGCTGGGAGTAGAGGCACACGCCACCACACCAATTTTTGTATTTTTAGTAGAGACGGGGTTTCACAATATTAGTCAGGCTGGTCTCAAACTCCTGACCTCAGGTGATCCACCCGCCTCAGCCTCCCAAAGTGCTGGGATTACAGGTGTGAGCCACCGCTTCTAACCACAATTCCACTTTTATAAATTTGGGTTTAAGAGGTCTTAGAATGCTCCCATTTGAATCGCGAGTGTCTCTCGTCACCCTGTATTACCATATTTTGAGTTTCAGGAATAAGGTAGAGGCTGCAGTTTCCCCTCTTGGCTTTGCTCCTCACTAGATGGGTGACCTTGGCCAAGACACACAAACTCTTTGAGCCTCAACTTCCTCATTGGAAAAAGAGGGTCATTAGAGTCCCTACATCAGAGGGTTGTTTCAGTGAGACAACGAACGGAAAAGACTTGGCAGAGTGCCTGTCGCAGAGTAAGTGTGGGGGTTACCCCTCAGACTAGTGCTTCCCAAATTTAGCAGCACACAGATGACTGGGGGATCTTATGAAAATGCAGATTCTGATTCAGCAGGTCTGGGGAGGGGCTGAGAGTCTGTCTTTTGTTGTTGTTGTTTTTTTTTTGAGACAGTGTCTCACTCTGTGATGACAGGCTGGAGTGCAGTGGCATGATCATAGCTCACTGAAGCCTCCAACTCCCAGGCTCAGGTGATCCTCCCACGTCAGCCTCCTGAGTAGCTGAGACTAAAGGCATGTGCCACCATGCCCAACTATCTTTTTTTTTGTGTGTGTGTGTTTTTTGTAGAGATGGGGTTTTGCCATGCTGCCCAGCTTGGCCTCAAACTCCTAAACTGAAACAATCTGTCTGCCTTGGCCTTCCAAAGTGCTGGGATTACAGGCATGAGCCACCACACTCGACCGAGAGACTACCTTTCTGATAAGCTCTTGAATGACGCCAGTTCCGCTGGTTCATTTGCCATGATTTGAGTAGCAAGATTACAGACTAGAGTCAAGAAGTAGGAAGCCACGGGTCACCAGTCAGAACTGGGACAAGTCCTTGGGGGATCAGTCCTGCTCCTTAGCCCTGGCTCCCCCAGGTCTTATTCCTGAGACTGGCTTTCTCAAGACTGCCATTGACTAAGGATTCCCTCTGTGGCAGCCCAGTGGTACCTGTGCTTCCTGGATTAGCTTGAGAACAGGATTAGCTCATCTTCCTGACAACCCTACAACATGGGTGCTCTTATTATCATCTCCATTTTATTTCCCCCAGAAGTGAATGCTTGCAGAGCTAAGAAACTCTCAAGGACAGAGTTTTAAAGCTCCCTGACAACTCAAGGACCTCTTTTCCCTCCAAAGCAGGCCTCTGGCTGGTTGGATTTGGGGAGGGGGTAAGGAACTTCTACCCTCTAAATCATTTCAGAATGAAAGTAAGTCACTCTCAAGACTCACTGGCTGGGCGCAGTGGCTCAAGCCTGTAATCCCAGCACTTTGGGAGGCCGAGGTGGGCAGATCACCTGAGGTCAGGAGTTCGAGACCAGCCTGGTCAACATAGTGAAACCCAGTCTCTACTAAAAGATACAAAAAATAGCTGGGTGTGGTGGCGGGTGCCTGTAATCCCCGCTACTTGTGAGGCTGAGGCAGGAAAATCACTTGAACCCAGGGGACAGAGGTTGCAGTGAGCTGAGCTAACACTGCTACACTCCAGCCTGGGCAACAGAGTGAGACTCCATCTCAAAAAGAAAAAAAAAAGACTCATATATCTCACAAACTAAGAGTGGCTGCCAGGGGCTGAAGGAAGGAGAGAATGATAATGATGGCTTCTTGGGTATGGAGTTTCAGCTTAGGATGATGAAAACAGTTCTGGAGACAGTGGTTATGGCTGCACAGTAATGTGAAAGTACTTAATATCACTGAACTATCTACTTAACATGGTTAAATGGGGCTGGGCATGGTGGCTCACGCCTATAATCCCAGGACTTTGGGAGGCTGCGGTGGGCAGATGGCTTGAGTTCAGGAGTTCGAGACCAGCCTGGCTAACATGGTGGAACCCCTTTTCTACTAAAAAAAGAATACAAAAATTAGCCAGGCGTGGTGGCAGGCACCTGTAATCCCAGCTACTCAGGAGGCTGAGGCACGGGAAAAGCTTGAACCCAGGAGGGAGAGGTTGCAGTGGGCAGAGATCGCACCACTGTACTCCAGCCTGGGCAACACAGTAAGTCTGTCTCAAAAAAATAAATAAAATATAAAATAAATAAATTGGTTCAATGGTAAATTGTATGTTTTATCTATTTTACCGCAATTTAAAAAGAGTTTTGTCCCTAAGACAGGTAGGCTGCCTAAACGGGGTCTTGAAACCCAAGGCTTAGCGTCTCATAGGAACACAAGGTTTCTCCACCATGTGACGGCCCCTGTGCGTCTCACCTGTAAGCGGCTATCTCTATATCCAGAGCCATCTTGACATTGAGCAGGTCCTGGTATTCTCGCAGCTGGGCTGCCATCTCCCACTTGGTGTTCCTCAGCTCAGCGTCCAGCTGCTGAATGGCTTCCTGGGAAGGAGAGGTGACACACATCACATGCCAGCCAGTGTCTGGCCCTCAGTATTAGGGAAGCTGCAGCGGGCTGTGCAACCCCAGAGTAGGCCCATCCAGCCAGGCTCACTGGGGCCAACCCCAACCCTGCTGGAGCTGTTGGGTCCTCATTAGTGGACATGGAACAATCTGGAGCAAAAATTCTGCTGTATAATGACCTCAGCCTGGGGAAGGTCTGAAATGAAATTCATCAGAAGTCAACAGTTGTTTCTGTTTGTTTGGCTGGTAGGATAATGGGAGAACTTTTACAGATCTTGAGCTTAGAAAGTGCTCAGTGAGGACAGGAGGGGTGTATTCTCATGCCTGTATTCCCAACACTTTGGGAAGCCGAGGAGAGTGGATCACTTGAGGTCAGGAGTTCAAGATTAGCCTGGCCAACATGGTGAAACCCTGTCTCTACTGAAAATACAAAAATTAGCCGGATGTGGTGGCATACGTCTGTAATCCCAGCTACTTGGGAGGCTGAGACAGAAGAATCGCTTGAACCCAGGAGGCGGAGGTTACAGTGAGCCGAGATCGCACCACTGTACTCCAGCCTGGGAGATATAGCGAGACTCTGGTGGTTCACGCCTGTAATTCCAGCATTTTGGGAGGCTGACGCAGGAGGATCGCTTCAGCTCAGGAGTTTGAGACCAGCCTGGGCAACACAGTGAGACCTCATTTCTACAAAACAATTAAATAATTAGCTGGACATGGTGATGTGCACCTGTAGTCCCAGCTACTCAGGAGGCTGAGGCAGGAGGATTACTTGAGCCCAGGAGGACAAGGCTTTAGTGAGCTGTCATCTTGCTGTCACATTCCAGCTTGGGCAACAGCATGAGACTGCGTTTCAAAAAAGAAAAAAAAAAGCCCAGTGGGAGCAGGGCCTTGCCTGCTTTTGCTCCTGTCTTTCCCCAGTGTGCCACCGTGTCCGACACATAGTCAGGGCATTGGTGACTGCCTCAGCCTTCTGAGTAGCTAGCACTGTAGGCACACACCACCATGCCCAGCTAATTTTTTTTTATTTTCTTGAGACAGAGTCTCGCTCTCTCGCTCTGTCACCCAGGCTGGGTGCAGTGGCATGATCTCGGCTCACTATAACCACCGCCTCCCAAGTTCAGTTCAAGCAATTCTCCTGTCTCAGCCTCCCAAGTAGCTGGGATTACAGGTACACACCACCATGCTCAGTTAATTTTTGTATCTTTTTAGTAGAGACAGGGTTTCACCATGTTGGCCAGGCTGGTCCTGAACTCCTGACCTCAAGTAATCCACCCACCTTGGCCTCCCAAAGAGCTGGGATCACAGGCATGAGCCATCATGCCCAGCCGCCAGTTATCTTTAAAAGAAGGACTCTGCTAAGGCCTTCCCCCGGCCGCCCAAAGACATTGGTGGCTGTTTACCAAATGTCCACTGTGACCAAGACCAAGCCAGTGAGTGGCAGAGCTGGGATTCAAATCTATAAGGATTCGAATGTTGAAGACCTTGCTGAGCTCATTGACAAGTTCACACTAATCTCATTTAAAGTCTCTCTCTCTAGGCCAGGCACGGTGCCTCACACCTGTAATCCTAATACTTTGGGAGGCTGAGGTGGGAGGACTGCCTGAGCCCAGGAGTTTGAGACCAGCTTGGCCAACATGGTGAAACCCCGTTGATACTAAAAATACAAAAATTAGCCAGGTGTGATGGCATGCGCCTGTAGTCCCTGCTACTCGGGAGACTGAGGCTCGAGAATCTCTTGAGTCGAGGCAGAGGTTGCAGTGAGCTGAGATCATGCCACTGCACTCCAGCCTGGGCAACAGAGTGAGGCTCCATCTCAAACCAAACATGTAAATAAATAAAAATCTATCTCTTTCATCTTTCCAGCTCTGCAAAGCAGGCTTTTTTTTTTTCATTGCTGGAAAGGAATTCAGATTCAGAGAATTAGATAACTTTCCTAGGGTCATGCAGCTGGAAAGTGCTGGTATGTCTGACTCCAAGGGCCACAATCTTAACCACTACAATCCTACTCGGTGAGGGACAGTAACTTGTCCAGGGTTACCCAATCAGGTAAGCTGTCTGCCTTGCCCCTGCCCACCTGGTAGGAGGCAATGTCGGCCTGATGACGGTCCTCTAGCTCAGAGCGCTGCCTCTCCAGTGAGTCCTTGGTGCTTTTCAGTGTCTCCAGCTCTGTGGTCCTGGCCTGCAGCTGACGCCGGTACTCAGTTATCTCCTCCTGCGCTGAGCGCATGGCGTCTGTGTTCACCTTGGCTGCCTCCGACAGTCGGTCCAGCCTCACTGGGGGAGAAGGTAGCAGGGCACAGGGTTAGACACACCTGGATTTGGGTTCTAATGCCCAGATTATTATTATTATTATTATTTTTTGAGATGGAGTCTCACTCTGTTGCCCAGGCTGGAGTGCAGTGGCGCAATCTCGGCTCACTGCCAGCTCCGCCTCCTGGGTTCAAGCGATTCTCCTGCCTCAGTCTCCCGAGTAACGGAATTATAGGCACCTGCCACTATGCCCAGCTAATTTTTTGTATTTTTAGTAGACATGGGGTTTTGCCACATTGGCCAGGCTAGTCTTGAACTCCTGACCTCGTGATTCGCCTGCCTCGGCCTCCCAAAGTGCTGGGATTACAGGCGTGAGCCACCGCACCCGGCCTAATGCCCAGATTTTGAAGGTGACACACGTGGATTGACCTACTGCGTGTGCCAGGCACCATCCTGGATGCTTGACTCACTCTTTCCTGTGAGGTAAAGGCAAGTGACTACTCCCTAAGGCCACCCAGCTAGTGAGTGGCAGAGCTGGGACTCAAATCCCCAAAGATCAGGCTCTGTCTCCCGCAATGTGGGATCCAAAAACTCTGCAGTCCAGCTCCCTAGCAAGGGCCTGGCAGTGCTGGGGGTTCCAATGTTATACCTGGCCCATGGGGCTTAACACTGAGCTGGAGGCTGGAGGCTTGTGACCGAACAAGTTAATGAGCTTGTGACCTTCGAGAGGCAGGAGGGTACCGTGAGCAATTAGGTCACCTTGTAGCCATGGTTCCTTCCTTACAGGTTTCTGCGCAGAGTCCAAGGTCATTGCAGAGCCCGTGGCCTGGGTGCCAACCCCCCTGTCCCTTTCTCCACCTAGCTGCGCACTGCCCCTGAGCATTGGTAGCCACACCCCAGCCTCTGCCAGCAACCAGTTCCTGGTTCCCAGGAAACCTTTCAGGGGCAGTGGAGGTCTGGAGACTGGTCTTTAGCTCATGAAAGTGAACATCCTGAATCCCCAGATAGTGGCACCCAGGGCATGAGTCTTGGTAGGGAGGGAGGAAGGAAGGAAGCCAGCTGAATGGGCCAGTAAAATTCTGGGACGTCTGTCCCTATGACTGGCAAACCCAAAAAAGGTTTGCGCAGGGAGGGGCCTTGCTGCGGAGATGGAGGAGGGGATGGTTCTGCTCTGCAGAGGAGTGGAAAAGGAACAGAAAAAGCTATGCATCCAAATCCCAGTTTTCCTGGCTTTCCCTGCTAGTGCTGGCAGAAACTTAGAAACCATCCAGGTGGTTGGGGATTCTCAACTATTGTGAATCACAGATGCTTTTGGAAAATCACTGAAGCCTCTGCCCTCTCTCCCAAAAACAACGCAAAGTTTTATAGACAGTTTCGTGAGAGATCATGGAACTCCCCGAATTAAGCAGCCCAGTTGATCTACCCCACTCTTTCAACTCAAAAAGAAATTAAAACTGGAGAGAGCAAGTGTTGGTCAAGGTCACCCTGCAGCTGCTGGGCACAGCTTCAAGGCAGCGCAATCTAGCTGACTCAGGGCTGCAAGGAGTTGGGGGAGGGGCAGACTTGGGAGGCTCCCAGCTTTCCTAAAGGAGAAAAGGGACATTAAAACATGAACGGGTCCACCAGCCACCTCACCACAGGCAACAACTGATTGTGGTAATGGTTCCTCCTAGGAAGAAAAGATGCGAAAAGCCCTGCCCCACCCCACGTGGAAGATTAAGGAGGGACGTTAAGCAGTGAGCACGGAGTGGGGAGGAGCCTGGTAGGGGAGAGAGGAATAGGGTTCCTTGCAGGGTGCAGGAGAGGGCGTGGCAGCATTGGCGGGGAAGCCTTGCTACTTAGAAGGGCTAAGAGTCTCCAGCATCACTTTTTTCCTACAGAGGAAACTTGTTTTGTTCTTGACATCAGAGTGGCGTTGCCTAAGCTTGGGGTAGACAGCAGCGGGGGGCCCAGGGCTTAAGTATAGCTCTAAAGAACCTGGAAAGGGGGAACCGAAGGACAATCCAGAGTTGGGTACGCCCCACAAGAGACCCAGAGTAAAACCGCGATTTAACTAGGGGCATGCACTTTGCAGAGGGAAGGTAAGCAGCGCCCCCTTGGGTCACACCGCCCAGAAGCTCGCTGCGGGGTCAGCGGGGGCGCCCCTCCCCCCCACCCGCGGGCCTGCTCACCTCGGAACCACTCCTCGGACTGTAGTGTGCTCTGCACCGCGTGGCCTTCAAGCTGCGCGCGGATCTCGCGCAG